ATTAGTCATATGAATCTTGAGATCGATTGTGAGATCGATAATGAGATCGATAGTTGACGATTGTAAGGTCGATCGTGAGACCGAGAGTGAAATCGGTGCAATGAGATCGATAGGGAGATAGATCGCGAGATCGCTCGTGCGATCTCTAAAGAGATCGCTTGCAAGATCGATTGTGTGATCGATTGTGAGATCGATGGTGAGATCGATAGAGAGGTGGGAAATGAGGTCGATGCTGAGACCGATCGATAAGAAGATCGACCAAGAACCCGGGAACCTGGGAACCTCGCCGCCCACCGAAATCGGCCCGGGAACCGGGAACCCGGGAACACCGAACTGAGAACCCGGGAACCCTGCCTGCCACCAGAATCGGCGTGAAACATTCGCCTTCTCTTTCAATATCCGCTAGGACCCCTTCAATGCAAGCACTGATTGGGGAATGGTACATGCAGAGAAGATGAGGTGCGAGCCAAGCCAATATCAAATCGAAGAGGACGGCGTACATTCAAGCGCAGCGCACAAGACTCAGAGCAACATCGCTTTTCACGCGGGAACTGAGAAGGCGCGGCGGTTACAGGATTCAGCAAATACATCGCAGACGACCACATCCGCCGCTCACCTGGCCGAGGCGACACCCCTGGACACAGCGTGGACTGAGCGCAAGGAAAGCCGACCGCAAGACTCACCCGCTGCTTGCAGGACCGAGCCGCCGCCTGCCCTGCCGCAGCGCCGGCGCCGCCTGGCCGCGCGCACGGCGGCGACGACGGGGCCCGCTGCACCGCCCTGCCCGCGGGGCGGGCGTGGCTGCTGCACGGCGCCGCGGCCTGCGCGGGTGCGGGGCGTCCGCCCCCTCCTTGGCCGCGGTTGGCGGCATCGCCGTGCGCGGGCTGGGCCGCCGCGCTGCCGCCGCGGGCTGCTGCCTGGGCGCTGCTGCGCGTGGTCTGGGGGCCGACTGGCGCGAGGCGTTGTAGGCCCGCTTGGGTTCGTTCGTAGCTCGGGCAGCCTGCGTGCAAGCTGCGTGCCCCCCGACCCTCCCCGCCCCCCGCCCCTCCCCCCCTCCTTCGGCCGCCTCTCTCTGCTGATGGGCTCGCTGGGTAGAAGATGTCCTCTGCTCTTCCCGTCCCCGCCCCCTCGATCTCCCGTGCTGTCCTCCCCCTCCTCCTCCTCCTGCTCCTGCTCCTCCTCCTCCTCCTCCTCCTCCTCCTCCTCCTCCTCCTCCTCAGTCCCAGAATTTGCTGACGGGTAATAGCCAGCCTAACGAGACCATCTGGAAGGATTGTAAAGGCCAGGGAACGCCTTGGAACTCACCCCATGGGAAGCTCGCTTAGGCTTGAGCTGGAGGTTTGTTCGTGGTGTCTCGAGCGCTCATGGGGTGTCTTTGCCCATCTGGAGGCACGGTTTACGGTTCTTGGGACCGTGCTGCAACAGCTTTCGTCCACAGGACTCCTGGGGCGTGTTGGAATTTCTGGGGGCCTCTTGGGTGGCTCATCCGTGTTTCCTGGGGTTTCTTGGCCGGTTGTTGGGGGGCACGGTCTGGACTCGTAGGTACCTTTTCGGAGGCTGGGCTTGAAAGCCTTCTCGCAGGCGTCGTGGAAGCAGTTTGTCCCCAAATAGGCTTTGCTAAAGGGTCCTTACTTGGTGAAAGGCTTTGCCCGTTCCTCGGAGGTTCCTCGGGTTCCTCGGAGTCCCCGCCCCCGGTGTCTCCCATTGTTACCTTGCCCGGTCCTCGGAGGTTCCTCGGGTTCCCCGTGCTCCTCGGGTTCCCCGAGCTCCTTGGATTTACCGCCCCCGTCTACCCCAAGCAATGCCAAGCAACGCCAAGCAATGCCAAGCAATGCCAAGCAATGCCAAGCAATGCCAAGCAATACCAAGCAATGCCAATCCATGCCAAGCAATGCCAAGCGATGCGCCCAGCGATGCACTCATGCAACAGACTTGCCCCGAATTGAGATCGCCGAAGCGGCCGCAGGGATCGCCGAGAACTTCATGACAGCCGAAGAGGTCACAGAAAATCCCCAACAGGCCCCATCAAGGCCCAGAGAGAGACTCCAAGGAGCCTAAACAGAGGCCCCAGACAACCAGAGACAGAGACAGAGCAGCCGATTCGGGCGTTTTCACACAAGGAGGGTGAGCAAGAAGGAAGTTTCTGGAAGACCAAAGACCCCCCCAAAAAAAAGGGTTTCACGCGCTCGCGCGCTGCAGGCGCCCCGCATGCTCGGACTGCTACCTCCGAGGGGCCGTCGCAACAATCGGACTGAACAACGGCAACGACCAACCGAGGGGTAGTGCGGCAAGCCATACACCCTGCGGGGCCACCCCGAGCAAGAATTCTGGCGACCGGGAGGCCCGGAGCGGAACCCTCAAGCAAGGAAACGATATCACGGTTAGAAGTGCCGTTCGGACGGTATCACGTGTCATTGCCACGGTACCTGCCCAGGGGGGCGAGGTCACCGGCGGGGACTCCCTCCATTCTTGCTGTCGACCGAGCGATGTTGTCGACAGCGGAAACGTCATCGCGGCAACATTCATGGCTCAAGCGGCGGCCCTGATTTCACGCTTGCGAGACGCCCAGGTCGAGTTGCCAAAGAACTCGGGGCCGCTGCTTGGCCAAAGCCACTGACAAAGCAAGCAATTCGATAACATCCAAGCCCTACGCCACGACACCGAAGCTGACACCATGTCTCCCGCCCTGATGTTTCGACGCAAACCACCCCCTTGGGCACTTTCTTCCTGGGGATACTGCAAAGTACCGATGCCACTACTCCCTGGACCGTCCCGGGGTGCGTTCGGACCAGAAGTTCGAGAAGCATTCAGCCGTGGCGACAAGGGCTCTCCAGAACGAGCAGCGGCATCAGTACTTTTTCATCCTTGACGTCACCTCATTCTGCATCCCCTCGACGCGTCGGGAGGTCGATAGCCCGCGCCCCCTCGAAACTGTTTCACACACGCCTGCGGGGGATGCGGGATGATCGACTGCTGGCGAGCGCCACCTGCACGCACACTAGGGCACACGCTTAATGGTACAACCCCCCCTCCCCTCCCGTACACAGTTCTGTGCAGTGGCGCGGCTGACACAAATTGCTCTGGTATTCAGAAGGAGGGCTTCCCAGAGACCAGGTGGCCCCTCCAGGCTCTCGGCAACCACACCTATGCTCAACTGCCCCGGCAATGCACCAGGCCGAGATTGGCTGTGGAGGGCGGCAGTGCAACCCAAGCGATAGTTTCTACAGACCGCTGCCGTCCAGGGCGGTAGCGAAGGATGACTGTACTGGAGAAAGAAAGAACTGCACAAAGATAACCTTTCGGAGGTCCGCCCAAACTTTCTTGGATCGGCGCTGGACCCCCCTTACCTGGCGAGCGGAACGCGCCAGGGGCAGCACCGGAGGCGCCGCCAGGGAACCCCGCGCCGGTCCAAGAAATCCGCGCGGAGCTCCGAAACTTTGTTCTGGTGTTGTCATCGTCTTCCTCATATACTATTACTAAAACCATCGCGCGCGCTTCGCGCGCGCGCGCTTAGATTCTAGCTGGTCGAGTGCTGACCGCATTGAGACAACAAGCCGGTCATGAATAATGAACTCATCATTCTCTGTTTCCTCACGCCTCTTCCTCATGCCTCCTCCTCCTCCGCTCTCATCGGTCGACTGGTGATCTGTCGCCAAGCTTCTTGGGAATCTCTTGACCCCTCCCGGGATCTCCTGGGGCGAAGATCTCGGGTTTCCGGTTCACGTTCTCGATCGTGGCATTCGGCCCATCCCGCCACCGTGCCTGGGTTGTGGGTTAGAGGCCCCTTGAAAGTTCGTTTGGGATTCGTGGGAGGCTTCCTGGGGGCCACCTGAAGGCAATTTTGGAGGCCTCTTGGGGGACGTTTGGGTGCTCGTGGGGCGTCTTTTTGGGCCCTTTTGGGACCTCGTGGGCCCTGGGGCCTCTAGGGCTCTGTTGGGGGCCTCTTGGGGCCTCCTGGAAGCCTCTTGGGGCGGAAAGCTCGAATGGTCGGTTCGTGTCCCCCTCTTGGGCCTCTCTTGGGGCCGTTTTGGGGCCCTCTTGGGCGAACCTGGGCGCCTCGTGGACCGTCTTGGGGCGCTCGTGGGCCGTCTTGGGGCTCTCTTGCGCCGTCGTGGCGCCCTCTTTGGGTGCATCTTGGGCCGTGTTGAACTAATTTCTGGGGCCTCGTGGGCTGTCTTGGACCGTCGGAAGCACGAAACTGCGAGAACACGAAAAATATTCAAACATCATAAAAATACCTACTCCTCCTGAGTGCCTTGTGGGAGTCCTTTTGAGAGCATATTGGCCGTCTTGACGCCCTATTTGGCTGTCTTCAAGCAATGTTGGACCAATTTTGAAACGCTGTTGTGCGGTCTTGGGCTCTCTTGGAGCGCTCTTGGGCCATCTTGGCGCTCTCTTGGACGTCTCTCGGCCACCTTGACGTTTTTTGGCGCCCCCCGCCGGGCCCGAAACGGCCGAAAGATAAGTCAGTACAGTTTGAAGGGCCTGGGACCTCCCGCCCATATATATATATATATATATATACACACATACGTACCTATACGACCACCCTTCGGGTGATAAGGAGGTTGTGGTGGGGGAGACAGGGGGGGAACAGCATTTGACTCAATCGATCTCACTATCGATCTCTCTCAACGGAACACCACGGGACACTTGTCGATCTCAGTATCGATCTCACTCAACGGGACATCACGGGACACCACGGGCCACCACGGGACACCACGGGACACCGCGGGACACCGCGGAACACCTCTCGATCTCACTATCGGTCTCAATATCGATCTCACTATCGATCTCACTCAACGGGACACCACGGGACACCACGGGACACCACGTGACACCACATCGATCCCACTATCGATCTCACGATCGATCTCACTCAACGGGACACCACGGGACACCACGGGACACCACGGAACACCTGTCGATCTCAGTATCGATCTCACTATCGATCTCACTTTTTTTGGACACCACGGGACACCACGGGACACCTCAGGCACCACATCGATCTCAGTATCGATCTCAGTATCGATCTCACTATCGATTTCACTCAACGGGACACCACGGGACACCACGGGACACCACGTGACACCTGTCGATCTCACTATCGATCTCACGATCGATCTCACTCAACGAGACATCACGGGACACCACGGGACACCTCGGGGCATCGAGTCGATTTCAGAATCGATCTCACTATCAATCTCACTATCAATCTCACTATCGATCTCACCATCGATCTCAGTCAACGGGGCACCACGGGACACCACGGGCACCACATCGATCTGAGTATCGATCTTACTATCGATCTCACTCGACGGGACACCACGGGACACCACGGGGCACCACGGAACACCTGTCGATCTCACTATCGATCTCACTATCGATCTCACTATCGATCTCACTCAACGGGACACCACGGGACACCTCGGGCACCACATCGATCTCAGTATCGATCTCACTATCGATCTCACTCAGCGGGACACCACGGGACACCGGATTTGGTCCGGCCGCGGCCCAGCCACAGGAGGATTTCGGGACACCAGCGGGACACCGGCGGGACACCGCGCGGCACCGGCCGCCAGAGAAGTTACATTTGGTCTGGCCGCGGCCCAACCACAGGAGGATTTCCTCTCGCCCACCCACGCAGCTTCGCCTCGCCCGCACGCACGCACGGCACGCACGACACGAACCCGAAACCGACATCGATTTCCCGGTAGGGGGGGTCTCCGTTTGACGTCGGACTCACCCCCCAACCTTTTATTTATTTATATATGTATATATATATATATATATATATATTCCTTGTCCTATATTTTTACAAGCCTGGGCGGGGAGAACCCCCCCCCCCAAAACCGGACTCCCGGGATCTGGGGCTTTGGGACCCTCCGGACGGGCCTCGAAGCGGCCCCCCGGGCCTCGCAGGGCGTTTTGCCAAGCCTTCGCAGCACACCTAGGGCGATCAGGGGGGTCATCGGAGACGTCCCAGAGACCCCCAAGACAGCACAAGAGCGCTCCAAGAAGCCGTCATACCCGGAAAGATCGCTCCAAAACGTACCAAGAGGCCTGCAAGAGCACCCCCAAGAAGGCCCCAAGAGGGAAAAATCATTGATGTTAAATAGGTTTTTGGTGAATTTGGGGTTCTCCTCTTTTCGGCTTCCCGACGCTCCAAGCCGGCGGCCTTCTGGGCGTCCGAAGCCGCCTGGGAGGCTCCCAAATCGCCCCGCAACCATCCGAAAGGGCTTCCTGGCAGCCCAAGAGAACCCCAAAACGGCACAACAGGGGTCCAAAATGGCCCTAAGAGAGCCTCATGGCGGCCCAAGATGGCCCCAAGACACCCTCCGAAGCATTCTAAATCGTGACCGGGCGTTCAGGGAGACCGCGGTTAGAGGCAGGTTGGCCTTAGATAGAAGCCCAAGAGGCCCCCAGAGTATGCCCAGAAGGCCTCCAGAAAGCTTCAAGAAAGCCTGAGAACTTTGGTGAGGCCCCCAGCGGCTCTCCAAGGAGGAGCCTCCGCAAAAAGAGCTGAGGAGGATGGGGAGAATGCCCAGGGTATGGCGAGAATGAAGAACAATAAACATGGAGGAAGGATAACGAACAACATTACTATAACGGCGATGCCAGAAAAGGCAGCAAGGAGTTATCGCTAAATTGTCGGCTTGACCTTCCTGCCATTTCCGCCTGCAGCATACCAAACTTCAAGGACCAAGGTGCATGGCGCGAAGCACCACTGCAGTCTTCGCGCGCTTCGCGCGCGCTCAGGTTCAACCTCAGACCCGGGCAACGTCTGAATGCCGGATTGTGCTGCTGGACAGCAGGGTGGCACAGTCTGCTTCAGACAACTAGGGAACCGAAGGCCCCGAGCGACATCAGCCGCGGCATCACCAACACCATAAGCAATGGGGAAGACGCCCGAGACGAGGAGAATGAGGCCGAGGTGGGACCCGCCGAGTCAACCGGACGAGGAGGGATGACGAAGAAGAGTCCCAACGGCCCTCCCCTTCATCCCTTTCGGGGCAGGGGCCTTCCCCTACCCCCTACCCCTACACCCTCCCCCTGGACGAGGGCGTTCGGCGAGCCGTTCGAGCGTCAAGGATGGCCCCAGAAGGTTCCAAGAAGGCCCCCACGAGCTCAAAGATGGGCCTCAAAGATCGTTCAAAGTGTGACCCCCTGATCCGCGGCGTCCCCCTCGAGAGGCACCTCCCAGCTGCCCAGCCTGCGGGGAGGCGCCCGCGGACCACCCCGCGCGGAAGGTGGCCCAGACGCTTTCCCCCCCCCCCCCCCGCCCTCCGACGTTTTCTGCTCCGCGGCGTCCCGCCCGAGAGGCACCTGCCAGCGCCTGCCCAGCCTGCGGGGAGGCGCCCGCGGACTTCCCCGCGCTGGAGATGGCGCAGTCGGGGCTGTGGTGGCATCGCCTCTCCGCCCCTCCCCATCCGACGTCTTGTGCCTGTTCTGTTCGTTTGGTCGTGTCTCTGTTGTTGCTTCTGTTGATGGATTGCTCTCTGTGCTGTGCCCGCCCCCCCCCCCCCCTCCGACCCCCTCCGACTCTCCCTCGGCCGTCTTCTGAGTCGGTCGCCAGGGCGTGGAAGAACTGCAGGCCCCAGCCGCCGCGAGCGGCTCGTGCCGTAGTGCGGGCCTTCAGCAGAAGGGTGCTGAAGATGCAGCATGCGGCGTCCACCTCTGGGGAGCGAGGAGGGAGAGAGGCATGGACGACATCAACGACGAGCAGATCTGTGTCCGAGCAATCGCGATCCCATGGAAACGCGATCCCATGGACATGTTCCGCGCGGGGCATGGGCGCAAAGCCGCCGCGCAGCCACAGGGTTGCGGCCGCGGGGTCCAAACCGCAAAGCCGCGGATGTGGACATGTTACGCTGCCCGCAAACAAAACAATGGTGGGAGCGGACAGGAGTGGGGAGGCGAAGGTGGCACGAAGGGAAGGAGGAATGAGGAAGGGATAGGCAATAATCGGCGCCGTGCGCCCACAGCCCGCTAAGGCAGAGGAAACGACTACAAAAAACACGAATGACCGTGTAAGGAACACATAGAGATAGCCGTCGCCGAGCTGACTTCTGAGCATCGTTTAACCGATCCCCCACTCCCACCGGCATGGCCTAGACCCCACTGCAGCCCGCCAAGGCGGAGGAAACGACTACAAAAAGAGAACGAACGACCGTGTAAGGAGCACAGACATAGCCGTCGCCGAACTGACTTCTGAGCATCGTTTAACCGCTCCCCCGATCCTCACCGGTGTGGCCTAGGCCCCACTGCAGACCGCCAACGCGGAGGAAACCTACAAAAAAAGACGAACGACCGTGTACGGAGCACAGAAGTAGCCGTCGCCGAGCTGACCTCTGAGCATCGTTTAACCGATCTTCCCATCCCCACCGGCGTGGCCTGAGCCCCACAGGCGGAATTTACCCCCGTAGATGGGGATATACGCCGTTCCCGTCGGGTTTCGAGGGGTATATCGCCAACTGGGGTGGTTGGATGGAGATTGGGATGGGGATCGGAATGGGGATCGGTTCAACCATACTGAACCTCGGGACCTGATGTGATCAGACCTTGACGAGGGCTCCTAGATGTCCTCGCTGAGAACGCCGACTCTAAAGACCCTACCAGCACAGGCGTCAAGGGGCTGGGCCACTACTCGTGCTGCCATGTTTGGCGTGGGTGTGTCTGCCACACTTGGAGCACAGCAAGTTGCACCTGCTAAAAAAAAATCGCGCGCTGAAGCCGACTGGACGGCCATTTTACACCTCTTGCCGGCCCGATCCCGAGTGTTCTCGGTTACTTGACTGGCCACGACGGACTCATTGCTGTAGCTAGAACTTCCCGCGGCGCCGTCGTCGTCGTCGTCGTCGTCGTCGTCGTCGTCGTCGTCGTCGTCGTCGTCGTTGTCATTGTCATTGTCGTCGTCGTCGTCGTCGTCGTGGTCATCGTCGTCGTGGTGGGCGTCGTCGTCGTCGACCGTCGCTCGGCGCCGTCGTCGTGGTCGTCGTCGTCGTCGACGTCGTCGACGTCGTCGTCGTGGTCGTCGTCGTCGTCGTGGTCGTCGTCGCCGTCTTCGTCGCCGTCGTGGTCGTCGTCGTCGTGGTCGTCGTCGTCGACCATCGCTCGGCGCCGTCGTCGTCGCCGTCGTCGTCGTCGTCGTCTTGGTCGTCGTCGTCGTGGTCGACGTCGTTGTCGTGGTCGTGGTCGTCGACGTCGTCGTTGTCGAGCGTCGCTCGGCGCCGTCGTCGCCGTTGTCGTCGCCGTTGTCGACGTTGACGTCGTCGTCGTCGTCGATCGTCGCTCGGCACCGTCGTCGTGGTCGTCGTCGTCGTTGTCGTCGTCGTCGTCGTCGTCGACGTCGTTGTCGTCGTCGTCGACGGTCGCTCCGGGCGGTCGTCGTCGTCGTTGTCGTCGTCGACCGTCGCTCGGCGCCGTCGTCGTGGTCGTCGTCATCGTCATCATCGTCGGGGTGATCGTCGTCGTCGTCGTCGACCGTCGCTTGTCGCCGTCGCCGCGGTCGTCGTCGCCGTCGACGTAGCTGCCGTTGTCGCCGTCGTCGTCGTCGTCGTGGTCGTCGACGAGGTCGTCGACCGTCGCTCGGTGCCGTCGTCGTCGCCGTCGTCGTCGACCGTCGATCGGCGCCGTTGTCGTGGTCGTCGTCGTCGTCGCTGTCGTCGTCGTCGTCGACCGTGGCTGGGCGCCGTTGTCGTCTATGTCGTCGTCGTCGTCGTCGTAGTCGTAGTCGTCGTCGTGGTCGTCGTGGTCATCGTGGTCGTCGACGTCGTCGTGGTCGTCGTCGTCGTCGACCGTCGCTCGGCGCCGTCGACGTCGTCGACCGTCGCTCGGCGCCGTCGTCGTCGTCGTCGTCGTCGTCGTCGTCGTCGTCGTCGTCGTCATCGTCGACGCCGTCCTCGTCGCCGTCGTCGACGTCGTCATCGTCGTGGTGGTCGTCGTGGTCGTCGTCGTCGTGGTCGTCGTCGTCGTTATCGTCGTTGTCGTCGTCGTCGTGGTCGTCGACCGTCGCTCGGCGCCGTCGGCGTAGTCGTCGTCTTCGTCGTCGTCGTGGTGGTGGTCGTCGTCGTCGTGGTGGTCGTCGTCTTCAGCCACCGCTCGACGCCGTCGTTGGCGCCGTCGTCGTCGTCGACCGTCGCTCGCCGACGCCGCCGTCGTCGTCAACGTCGTCTTCGTCGGCAAAGTCGTCGTCATCGTGGTCGTCGCCGTCGTCGCCGGCGTCGTGGTCGTCGTCGTCGTTTTCGACGTCGTCGTCGCCGTCGTCGCCGTCGTCGTCGTAGTTGTGGTCGTCGTCGTCGTCGACCGTCGCTCCGGGCGGTCGTCGTCGTCGTCGTCGTCGTGGTCGTCGTGGTCGTCGTGGTCGTCGACGTCGTCGTGGTCGTCGTCGTCGTCGACCGTCGCTCGGCGCCGTCGACGTCGTCGACCGTCGCTCGGCGCCGTCGTCGCCGTCGTCGTCGTCGCCGTCGACGTCGCTTCCGTTGTCACCGTCGTCGTGGTCGTCGTGGTCGTCGTGGTCGTCGTCGTCGTGGTCGTCGTCGTCGTTATCGTCGTTGTCGTCGTCGTCGTGGTCGTCGACCGTCGCTCGGCGCCGTCGGCGTAGTCGTCGTCTTCGTCGTCGTCGTGGTGGTCGTCGTCGTCGTGGTCGTCGTCTTCAACCACCGCTCGGCGCCGTCGTTGGCGCCGTCGTCGTCGTCGACCGTCGCTCGCCGACGCCGCTGTCGTCGTCAACGTCGTCTTCGTCGGCGAAGTCGTCGTCGTCGTGGTCGTCGCCGTCGTCGCCGTCGTCGTGGTCGTCGTCGTGGTCGCCGACCGTCGCTCGGCTCAGCCGTCGTCGGCGCTGTCGATGTCGTCGTGGTCGACGGCCGCTCCGGGCCGTCGTCGTCGTCGTCATTGTCATCGTCGTCGCCGCCGTCGTCGTCGATCGTCGCTCGGCACCGTCGTCGTGGTCGTCGTCGTCGTTGTCGACGTCGTCGTCGCCGTCGTCGTCGTCGTCGTAGTTGTGGTCGTCGTCGTCGTCGACCGTCGCTCCGGGCGGTCGTCGTCGTCGTCGTCGTCGTCGACCGTCGCTCGGCGCCGTCGTCGTGTTCGTCGTCGTCGTCATCGTTGTCGTCGTGATTGTCGTCGTCGTCGTCGACCGTCGCTCGTCGCCGTCGTCGTGGTCGTCGTCGTCGTCGACGTCGCTGCCGTGGTCGTCGTCGTCGTCTTCGTCGTCTTCGTCGTGGTCGTCGACGTCGTCGTCGACCGTCGCTCGGCGCCGTCGTCATCGTCGACGTCGTCGACCGTCGATCGGCGCCGCTGTCGTGGTTGTCGTCGAAGTCCTTGTCGTCGTCGAGGACCGTCGCTGGGCGCCGTTGTCGTCGTCGTCGCGTAGTCGTAGTCATCGGCGTAGTCGTCGTGGTCGTCGTCGTCGTGATCGTCGTCGTGGTCGTCGACCGTCGCTCGTCGCCGTCGTCGTCGACGTCGTCGTCGTCGTCTTTTTGTTTGTCTTTGCGGGGCCATAAAGGCTGGGAAGCTCCAGGAGGGGCCGCTTCGGGCCACCCTCCACCAGAGGAGGGGCCGCCTCGGGCCACCTCCGCACCTCCAGGGAGCCCCAGGAGCAGGGGAAGAGCCCCGAAAAACCCTGGGCCCCACGGGTGCCAGGCGCGAAGCGCCGCGATTGCAAGCTCACGTACACATTCAAATACAAGAAATGCGAATGCGCGGAGCAAACGGAATTAGCGTCCGCACGCAAGGCTAACCGTCCTGCACCTGGGCCTCGGCAAGGACGAGGAGCCTCTCGAGCGCGAGCGAGGGCCCGTGAGCAACACAGGCGATCGATGCTACCGAGAGGTCGTCCAAAAAGGCCCAGAGGCCGCGGACGGGCTCGTCCACGCCGCCAGCCCCGCCTCCGCGCGGGGGGGCCTCCTCCGACTCCTCCTCGAAGGCCGTGCCGATGACGACGGGACGCAGGTCGAAGCGGACGCGACGGGCACGCCGCCCCGTGCTTGCACCTCGCTCCCTGCGGACGCGGCTGCCCTCGAAACCAGCGCCAGGACCAGTACCGCCAGCCACAGGAGCCGCGAGGGCCCCGCCGCCTCCCGAGAGGAGCGCCGCAGGGTGAGCGTGCAGGTACGCCAGAACCGCAGTGCTGGCCTGTGGCGCCGCCTCCGACACCGAGCAGGTCGTATCCACTTCAGCGTCGGCAGCACCCACCTCCTGGTAGTCGAACTCGGCCGAGTCGGCCGCACTGCCCACGGGGCTGGAGACGGCCTCAACGTGACCACCACCCGAGCCCGCGGAGCCCGTCGGCAGAGGCTCTCCAGCACCAGCCGCAGCGTCAGCACGCGCGTGAAGACCAGCCGAGGCGAAGACCACGGCGCCACACGTGCAGCGGATGCACACGGGGGGCAGCGGCTCCCAAGGCCCAACGCGCTGGACCGTGAGGAAGGCGTCCCGCGCCCGCGGCGGCCGCGCCTCCGCGCGTGCAGCACCGCTCGCAGTCCTGCTCTCCCAGCCGGCGCCGTCCAGCTGCTCCCAGACTCCTGGGGGGTGCCGCGGCCAGAACGGGGCAGCCTGCTCGCGAAGCACGGCCGGGTTGCCCGCCACGGCGTACAGCTTCTGCCCGAGCACCTCCGCGCCACCGACGCCCTGCAGACGAGCTTCGAGACGCGCACTCCTCTGCATCTGCCGAAGGCGCGCGGGCCGCGCCTCTGCCACGCTCTCGCCCTCGGCGTCGGCGTGTAGCGCGACGTTGCGCCTGAGCACGTCCTCGGGCGAGGGCGTCTCGCCCTTCAGGAGTGCGCGCAAGGCAGGAATCAGCGCCACCACGCGGTCCGCCAGCTCCGCGTCCCCGATGAGATCCTCGAAGCCGCCCAGGAGCTGCCGAAGGGTGCGCCTCAGGGAGTCGGCATCCTCGCGGGCCTCCGCGTGCTGCTTGACCAACTTCTGCACCAGACGGTCTGCCGAGGCACGGGCACCAGCCGCGCCCCGCAGAACCTCCCGCGCCATCGCCTGCCCAAGCACGCTTGAACCAAGCTGGCTTGAGCCAAAATGGCTACGGATGTCGTCGTCGTCGTCGTGGTGGTGGTCGTCGTCGTCGTCGTTGTCGTCGACATCGTCGATGTCGTCGTCTTCGTCATCGACGTGGTCGTCGTGGTCGTGGTCGTTGTCGCTCGGCGCCTTCGTCGTCGTCGTCGTCGATCATCGCTCAGCGCCGTCGTCGTCGTCGACCGTCGTCGTCGTCATTGTCGTCGTCGTCGTCGTCGTCGCTCGGTGCCGTCGTCGTCGTCGACGTCGTCGTCTTTGTCGTCGTCGTGATCGTCGTCGTCGTCGTCGTCGACCGTCGTTCGTTCGGCGCCGAAGTCGTCATCGTCGACGTCGTCGTCGTCGTCGTCGCTCGGTGCCGTCGTCGTCGTCGTCGACGTCGTCGTTGTCTTTGTCGTCGTCGTGATCGTCGTCGTCGCCGTCGTCGTCGACCGTCGTTCGTTCGGCGCCGAAGTCGTCATCGTCGACGTCGTCGTCGTCGTCGCCATCGTCGTCGTCGTCGTGGTCGTCGTCGTCGTCGTCGACCGTCGCTCGGCGCCGTCGGCGTCGTCGTCGTCGTCGACCGTCGCTCGGAGCCAGCGTCGTCGTCGTCGTGGTCGTCGTCGTCGTGGTCGTCGTCGTCGCGGTCGTCATCGACCGTCGCTCGGGTCCGTCGTCGGCGCAGTCGCCGTCGTCGACCGTCGCTCTGCTCAGCCGTCGTCGACGCCAACGCCGTCCTCGTCTATGTCGACGTCTCGTGGTCGTCGTCGTCGTTGTCGTCGTTGTGGTCGTCGTCGTCGTCGTCGTGGTCGCCGTCATCGTCGACCGTCGCTCGGCGCCTTCGACGTCGTCGTCGACCGTCGCTCTCTGCCGTCGACGCCGTCATCGTCGTCGTTGTCGTCGTCGCCGCCGCCGTCGTCGTCGATCGTCGCTCGGCACCGTCGTCGTGGTCGTCGTCGTCGTTGTGGTTGTCGTCGTCGTCGTCGTCGTCTTCATCGTCGTCGTCGTGGTCGTCGTCGTCGCTGCCGTCGTGGTCGTCGAGGTTGTCCTCGTCGCCGTGGTCTTCGTCGTCGTGGTCGTCGTCGTCGTGGTCGCCGTCGTCGTCGTCGTCGTCGTCGTCGTCGTCGTGGTCACCGTCGTCGTCGCCGTCGTTGTCCTCGTCGCTGGCGTCGTCGTGGTCGTCGTCGCCGTCGTGGTCGTCGTCGTCGTCGACCGTCGTTCGGCGCCGTCGTCGTCGTCGACACCGTCATCGACCGTCGCTCGGCGCCGTCGTCGTCGACGTCGTCGTCGTTGTCGCCGTCGTCGGCGCCGTCGTCGTCATCGTCGTCGTCGTCGTCCGTCGTCGTCGTCGTCGACCGTCGTCGGCGCCGTCGTCGTCGACGTCGTCGTCGTCTTCGTCGTCGTAGTCGTTGTCGTCGTCGTCGTCATCGTGGGTGCGTCGTCGTCGTCGACCGTCGCTCGGCGCCGTCGTCGGCGCCGTCGCCGTCGTCGTCGATAGTCGCTTGGCGCCATCGTCGTCATCGTCGTCGTTCAAGGCCGGAAGGACAGGCCCACGGCCACGGAGGGCTGAGCTCCTGCAGCGCGGCGGCCAGGGCGCCGTCGTCGTCGTCGTCGCCGAAGTCGTCGTCGTCGTCGTCGTTGTGGGCGTCGTCGTCGTCGTCGCCGTCGTCGTCCGTCGCTTGGCGCCGCCGTCGTCGGCGCCGTCGTCGTCGTCGTCGTCGTCGTCGTCGTCGTCGTCGTCACCGTCGTCGTCGTCGTCTTCGTCGCTCGGCGCCATCGTCGTCGCCGTCGTCGTCGTCGTGGTCGTCGCAGTCGTCGCCGACGTCGGTCGGCGCCGTCGTCGCCGTCGTCGCCGTCGTCGGTCGGCGCCCTCGTCGTCGCCGTCGTCGGCGCCGTCGTCGAAGGCCGGAAGAACAGGCCCTCTGGGCCCGCGGCCGCGGCGGGGCTGATCTCCTGCAGCGCCGCGGCCAGGGCGTCCGCTCGGCCCCCCATGCCCGGAACGGGGCGGGGGCGCTTCGCCGGCGAAGGGGGCCCTCTGCGAGACCGGGAGTCGGGGCATGGAAGGAGGAGGGCCCAGGGAGGAGGGGGGCGGGGAAAGAAGGAGGGAGGAACAGGACGGAGACACATGACGGGGAGGGGGCAAGACGAGCAGGGAACAGGACGAGGAGGAGGAGGAGGAGGAGGAGGAGGCGTCGAGAGGAAGAGGCGGAGCACGAGGAGGAGGGGGGGCCAAGAAGGGAGGATGAAGGAGAAAGGACTGGATTGAACACTTCGAGAGACAAGACTAGACCTTCCAGCAACGAAGGTGAAAGGGTAGACCTGTCACCGCCCAGCGGCACAGGGTCCCTCACCAACCAACATGCCAGAAAAAGCAGCCTACAGAGAACGCACCTGTCTGCAACACAGTCTCACACGAGCTATAATTGGCCGGCCGCACACGAACGGCAGGACAGCGCGACTTCACACAGGAGTGGCACTCAAGAACTCCAGGCACACGACCTCCTGCGCCTCTGTCGAAGTCCTGCTTCTAGGCTTGTGGTTCTTGCTGACAATGCGTGGCACACCGAAACGTGCAGCACGGAGATCGGCCAGAACAGCACGATGAGAAATAGCCACGGCGTGAACAGCACCGTCAGCGGAGGAGAAGGAGGAGGAGGACGACGACGATGAGGAGGAATGAGGCTGCTAGAAAAAGCTCCGTGGCCATTGCGGCGGGCATATAGAATAAAGCTCCTTTCTGTGGCTTGCCTGGCGCGCGCGACAGGCCCTAGAGAATGCCGCTGCGCCGTCAGCGGGGATGTACCCCCGTCAAAATACGGAAGGCTCGAAAAGAGGCAAGTGATTGAGCTGGCGATGGCGAACCCTGTGACTAGGGATCCAAGCGCGAGGGGTGAGGGGCGTCGGCGGCGGCGACTCCCAGGGTTGTAGTGTCTGGCGGCAGCAGGTCCCGCCATGATGACAGGATCGCTGTTTCCCAGAAGCGGTCTCGGCGACACCATGCGGCAGCGATGCGACACCCGCGAACATAGAACGCCAGAGCTCTTGGTGCACTGGGAATGTGGCGCCCGGGGTTTTGTACAGAGCGCATCATTTCTCCCGCCCCAATCAAGGAATCTATGCTACGAGGGAGAGAACGCTGGGGTGAGATTTCTGGTGTTCTTTTGCATGGTGCATACGTGATTGCATGTTTTATCACCCGGCGATCATCTTTATCAGGCCAGACCAGCCAACCCAGGGAAATCACTCGATCGAGCGCTAAGATACCGCCCGCCCGAACCACGCGCTGGCCCCCAAGCTGGCGGAGCCCGCCTGCGAGTTGGCAAGGGTTGGCTTTCGCGCCCGGGGTTCGCCCGCCACTGCGTTTTCGGGGGGGCGCAACAAGCGTCGGCCACGAGGGCCCGATCGACGACGCGACGCGGATAGCACCCGCGCGGCCTGCCAACGCTGATCGGAACCGACGCCCTGGCCTGATCAAGCGGCGCGCCGCCGCCCGTCTTTCGATTCAGATCCCGTTGCGCTGAACATTGGATCGATGGGGGGCGCGATCGATGCGCCTCGCTGCTGGGGGTAGCATCGTTGAAGAGGCGCCCTATGATCCCAAGCTGGTGAAGGAGCAACTCCTGCGCCGTCGAAGGAGCCGCTGAAGACAATGGGCCTGTTGAATGTCAGGTGCGCCGCCGCCTGGTTCTCCGAAGCCGCTCGCTCCACGGCTCGGCGAGCGGCCGCCTGACTGACGCGGGCGGGCGCCGAGGTCGACGGCGGAGCGCCGCTCTGACACTCCTCCGTGGTCTCAAACAAGAGCCCCCGCGCGCGTTGGTCCAATCGCCTCGATCTTCCTGCCTCCGCGGCCAATCAGCGCAAGGCCCACGGCCTCTCGCAGGTGCGGACCCCCCCATCCATCAGAATCCTCGTCACTGGCGCTCGCAATCGACGCGCCCAATTCGCTGATATGGGCCCTGCAAGCATCACAACCAGTAGCGCAAAGAAAAAATTGTTCCATCAAGTCGGCCGTTTTTTTTTACGGGGGCTGGCCTGCGCATCCGCCACCAAGGACAGCGCGCGCCCGAGACATCTGCAGCGGTTGTTCCGCACTTGCCTCTGGAAACGCAGTCGCGCGACCGCTTCCTTCACCTCGCCAGGGCGGATAGCAGGCGACGCGTCTCCATGCAAACACTTCCCCAAGAATGTGCGTGGAACAGCACGCGCCACTTGCCTGCTGTCTCCTGTCTTCCTGCATCGGCACCAGTCAAGTAAGACGCGCAACAAGCCCTTCGTGGATGACCAAACTCCTGGTCCGCATCCTGAAGTCCACCCTGCCCTGCGCTCCTAAACCGCAAAAGCGCGAAAGAACGCCCGGGCGCCTCGCCCCCTCCAACGCCGAGTGCCCCCCGTGTTTTCCGCCGCACAGGCGGAGAGGAACAGCGCGAGAGCACGTCGTGTATTCTGGTGCGTTCGGAGATTTCATCGAAACCATTTGCTGGCAACGCCCTCTTGACCTCCCACTGCGCACTCACAGGGGGCACTTCCACAGAAACGCGCGGGCTTGCCATCGGGACAGACAGTCGAGCACTGAATGACTAGACCTTTGGTGTTCGTAGCCATGTTCTGAATTGAGCTTTGGGCGCAGAGGCGGCCGTGCACACACCGTGGCCGCAGCCACCTAAGCGCGAACATGCCGGACGGGTAGCGCCGCAACGGCGCGACCCCGACTGCGCCGCCCACGTGCTCCGCGGGCTGTTGGGATGCGCCCGCGCAGCTCTATCATATCTGCGCTGCCTGATTTCGCGCCCTTCAAATACACCATCGCGACCTTCGGCGCGAAGCATGCACCTTTGGCCCCAGCGACGGGAGCCAAGAGGATCTTATGACGGCCCCAGGAGGGGCCAAAGATGGCCCCGAGAGAACTCGCGACCTACGCTCTGGGGCCCAACGAGGGAAAAGAAAGTGAACTGAAGGTGCGCTTTACGATCGGCACCGGTCCTAACAATTTTCTGCGAGCTCCAGGGCTCCACGAAAAGGCCCAGGAAGGCCCCGCGGGGCCTTCGAGCAAGCCCCCAGGAAGGCCCCGAGAGGCTCCGCGAGCGGCGCTTGGGAGCCCCAACGGCTGACAGAAAACTTGCAGAAATCGGGAATCACCACCGGCACTTTTCCCGTCAGGTTTCTGTCAGCTCCATGGCCCCATGCAGAAACTAGAAGGGCCCCGTGGAGAGCGCAAGAGGGGCCGACGAGAGCCCCGAGAGGCCTCGCGAGCGGCGCTTCTGGGCCCAACGAGCTGACTGAAAGCTGCCAGACAGCGGACTTCAAGATCGGCACAGTTTCTGTGAGCTCTCTATCGGCTCCAGGGCCACGCGAGGGGCCCAGAAAGGACCCCGCGAGGACCCGAAGAGGGGCCCCAGAGGGCGCCAAGGTCTCGCGAGCAGCGCTGTTGCGCCCCGATGGCTGACCGTGAGCTGACGGAAAGTACCATCGGCGCCGTTTCTGCGAGCCTTCCGAAGCTCCAGAACCTCACAGAGTGCCCCACAGAGCGTTATCAGAGGGCCCTTCAGGGGCCCGCAAGGGCGCCAAGAGGGCTCGCGAGGGGCGCGCTGGGGCCCGAAAGGCAGACAGTAAGCTGACAGAAACAAATCGTCACCAGAGGCACCGTTGCCGCCAGCTTGCCGTCAGCTCTGGGCCCCCGCGACGGGGGCTCTACGGGGCCCAAGAATGAACCCAAGAGGGGGCGAAGATGGACCCGAGAGGCTCCGCGAGCGGCGCTTGGGAGCCCCAGGGCTGACAGGGAACTGACAGACATCGGGCCTCACCACGGGCACTGTTTCTGTCAGCTTTCTGTGAGCTCCAAGGCCCCACGCGGAACCTAGAAGAGCCGCCCGAGGACAACGGGCGGGGCCGACGAGGGCCCCAAGAGGCCTCGCGAGCGGCACTTTCGGGCCCAACGACCTGACAGAACGCTGACAGAATGCGGACTTCAAAATCGGCACCGTTTCTGTCAGCTTTCCGTCGGCACCTGGACCCCATAGCGGGTCGAAAAGGGAGCAATGAGGACGCCGAGAGGGGCCCGAAAAGGCCCCGAGAGGTTCCGCGAGCGGCGATTTGAAGTCCAACGAGCCGACAGAAACCTGACAGAAAGCGGACTTCAAGATCGGCGCCGTTTCTGTCAGCTTTCTGTCGGCCCCAGGGCCATGCGAAGGGCCCAGGACGGACACCGCGAGGACCGGAAGAGGGCCCCCTGAAGACACGAAGAGGGATCCAAGGGGCCTCCGAGTGCGCCAATGGCTGACAGTGAACCGACGAAAAACGCGCTTGACCATCGGCGCCCTTTCTGTCAGGGTTCTTTCAGCTTCGGAGCCCAACAAGGGGGCCAAGAGGGACCAACGAAGGCCCCAAAAGAGACCAGGAGTGACCCAACTGGCCTCGCTAGCAGCGCTTTGGGGCCCAGCAAGCGAACGGAAAGCTTTCAAAAAGCGCGTTTCACCATCGGCGCCGTTTGTGGCCTGTCGGCTACGGGGCCCTGCGAGGGGCCAAAGAAGAACCCCGCGAGGACCCCGTGAGGATCCCAAGCAAGCCCTGAAGGGATAGCGGAGAGCGCCCTGGGGCCCGAATATATAACAGGAGCCTGACAGGATGTGAACGTCGCCATCGGCATTGCTCCATCAACCTCCAGTCAAGTCCTGGGCCGGACTCCAGCCACAATGCTTTTCGTCGTGGAGCTCAAGATCGACGCCCACCCTGCCTTGCAGCGCCCATGTATGCATGTATTCGGCAGAGCCCGCGGATGGACCCGAATGATATCCCGACGTCGCAGTCCCATCGTCGGCAAGACTGGCAGGATGCACAGGGCCGAACAAGCCGCGCGTGCGGGGCCGCATAAATCTGAAGCTTCCGTCCTGGAGCACGCGCAAGCAATTCGCGGCTTGCTGATATGAGCCAGCCACGCGGCTCTCGCCGCAGGCACTGACATGGCGACTCAGCGCCCGAGGGTTTTCGTCTCTAGA